TTGCTACGGCCATGCGGCAGTTTAACTTTCGATTTGTGCTCAGTTTTGCGCACGGCTGTTGTTCGTATTTACTGCTTTAAGCGTCCACATACCATGGATACAGTTAAGGAGTTTCTTGCTCGTGAAGGTTTCAACCATTTCAGCTTCGTTGTGGTGATTGGTTCGGTGGTTTTTGGAATCAATCTGCTTGGAGTCTTCGCTGATATTGAGGACAAAGAACAAAGGTATTTTAGCTGCAAAACAAAAGGTCAAGAAGACAAAGATTTTCTTCAAAGAACGTGCTTCGCTGACTATCAAGCCAAAAACACAAGAGGTTTTCCACTTTATGGTTTCGTGCTTTTAAACGTCTTGTTGGTCATAATGGTGTGCTTCTTCTACTATCAGTCTGTTCGATCAAAATTGGAAGACCTCGAACGCGAAGACCCGGAAATGCAAACAAACCAATCTACTCTTCTATATCGTAGGTATTGCATTCAACTCGCTGTTAGACTTACTCTAGGCATGGTATTTCGTATTCTGCAATGGATAGTCTTATATCCTCTCAACTTTCCTTCCAAGTACGCCTGTGAATTGTCGAGCGATCGTGAAGCAAAACATACGAATATTACAAGCAGCGATGCAGCAAATGTCACACGGTCTTGGTATCATTGTATTAATGAACAAGCAGAAAAGAAAACGAACTGTACCATTGCATTTTTTGCAGTCAATGTTATATTTAATGTTTTTATCCTTCTGGAGTTGATATATGTCATCATCAAAGCTAAAATCAATGTGTATTTTAGGGAAGATTTAGAGTTTTTCAATACTTATCTGCTAAACAAACCTAAGGTCACTAAAAAATACGTAGCGGGAATGAAGGAAAAAATTAAGAACAACACGAAGTTTTATGAACCACTTCTTCCAAACATTCCTGGTGAAGACAGAAAATTGCTAGAACTTGACAAAATTTACACCAATCTAATCATTTACCCTGGAAGAGTAAAACACGAATTCAAAGGGAAGAGACACGAGATATTCGAAGGATACTTAAGGTCACAAGAATCCCACCAGTCCATAAACAAGATTGAAAACATTTTTGCACCAGAACCAGGAAACCCACGAAAAAGACCTCTCTCTATCATGATCATTGGTCGACCGGGTGTTGGCAAGAGCTTGTTATGTCTGCGGATCCTTCGTGACTGGGCCTGTGGTAAAACCTTCAACGAGGAAGCAGGAGAAGGGAAATGTTTTGAATTTGTTTATCTTTTCAAATTTAGACATTTCAACAGTGATGAGAAAATAAATCTTCAGCAACTGCTAAAAAGAGGTCATTTCGCGGGAGCGGTTGCTAATGAGGTCTACCAGAGGATACTAAGCCACCCAGAAAAAGTGTTGCTTATTTTYGATGGTCTTGATGAATTTGGAAAGAAAGAAAACATTGTTAAAGAAGAAGAATTTGGGAACAATCTTGCAGAGACACTTCCATTCTCTGCATTGTATTCCAAGTTAACACTAGGAAAACTCTTTAAAGGAGCTACAGTTGTAACTACCTCAAGACCAACTGCTCTTTCTTATGTATCATTTCCAAATAAAACGTTTGACCGAACTTTGGAAATTCTGGGATTCAATTCAGAGCAAATAGCAACATATGTGGAAAGGTTCTGTGAAGACTTTAGAAAACAGAAAATATGGAATCACATCAGAAGCAATGCAAATCTTTTGTCTTTGTGCTACATTCCTGTAAATTGCCACATTGTGTGCTTTTCGTTACAAGAACGACTAAAACGGGATGAAGACAACGATGTTGATTATTTGCCAACTACACTCACCGAAATTTACGAAGATGCATTAGTGCTTATTGTCTGCAAACACAACCCACAATATCGCCGCAGTCCTCCTGAACAAGAAAAGCTGTTGTCCTCACGTTACTTCGATCCTGAAGTAGAAAAGTCTTTGAATAGTCTAGGGGAAATAGCTTATAAAGGAATTAAAGAGGATAGGCTGATTTTCGAATCAAGTGAAGTCAAGAAACATGAAGAAAGTGGTCTGCTTCATCGGTTGCCCAACCAACAGGTTGATGTTATCCGACACAAAGAACAGTACTGCTTCCTTCACTTAACGATTCAAGAGCTTCTGGCTGCAAGATACATCATAAAGGGAAAAAGTTTGAAGGAACTAAAAAGCTGGATTTCTAAGCATCTGCGTGAAGGCAAGTGGGAAGTAGTGATGCAGTTTGTTGCTGGGTTGCTTCATCATGAAGAATATGTTAACTCTATAGTTGGGACTTTTATTACCAGTTTACCTCCGCAAATGTCTGGTGAAGCAAGCTGGCCACATTTTTCAAACAAGGAACTAGTGATCAGACTTTTTAAGTGCATATTTGAGATTTCGAGAAATTCAAAAAATCAATGGAAAAGTTTGGTTGCAGAAAACTTGAGTGGTGTAGTAAATTTAGACCTGAGTTTGGTGTCTTTAACTGATGGAGATATGACAGCGATAGCGTTCGTTTTACAAGAGATAAAGAGCATTGTAAGTGTAGATGTAAGTAGGAACCACATTACATCTATTGGGTGGCAGGAGATGTATAAGCTACGGAAGATGTCAGGGTGCAAACTAACCACGTTGAACATCAGTGACAACCAAATAGGTGTTGGTGGATTAAAGCACTTGCCTGTTGCACTTGCTACAAATGAGTGCAAACTAACCACGTTGAATATCAGGAACAACCAAATAGGTGTTGATGGATTAAAGCACTTGTCTGATGCACTTGCTACGAATGAGTGCAAACTAACCACATTGGACATCAGGCACAACCAAATAGGTGTTGATGGATTAAAGCACTTGTCTGATGCACTCGCTACAAATGAGTGCAAACTAACCACATTGGACATCAGTGACA